AATTAGAAATAGCTTCTTTATGCATTTTAAACATATGCATTTTAAACACAAGTGTATATTCCTTTAATGTAACATAATGTTCCTTGATATCTCCAGAATGCTTATTGAATGAAACACTCTAATATGCATAGAGATGTAAAGTAAAGTGTATTTTTAATATGTTTTACTGCCAATGAAGATCAAACTGTTTTACTATTAGCCTCCTTGAACACACCCCCTTCCATGAGGAGCGCGCGCTCTGGAACAAGGGACAATAAACCGAGAGTTCCCGCGTGCAATGTCCATTTCCCCGATTGGCTCCAGCCAACAGGAAGGGGATGGATTTCTCCAAGGTGATAAAGGAAGGAGTGCGGCTCCGCCCGCCGCTCTTCCTGGAAACCCAACGTGCCAGGAGCATGTAACCCTCACGGGAATCTGATCCGACCATGGATCTTTTCTTTTGTTCGTCCAAAGTTCGTCTCTTCTTTAAGTTTACTATCAAATTCGCCTCCCAGGAAAGGAAGTGGACTTTGCCGAACTATTTCCTCGGGTAACATCACCTCAAAGACACCTCAAACGTCACCTCAAAGTCCAACCACTGTTGAAAGACTCGTGCTGCATCATGTGACTCCCCACGGAACAAAGGAGCCACGCTGTGGTGAGCAGGACTGCCGAGGGACGGTGTGCTTCACAGGTGCTGCTCATTAGCAATCGCACCACCGGCCTCGCGACTTTATCTCACGTCCCTCGGCCGTCCTGCTCAACACACACGCGCACGCAACTGTCCATGCACGCGCCGGGACGGGCCGTGCAAAAACGCAGCGGGCACGCAGGACAGCATCTCCAGTCATCACTCTCTCTCTCTCTCTCACCCTCTCTCCAACTCATTTACACGGTGTACCCATTGTCTAAACGCCCCGCGTCGTCTTAGTTTGTGTTTTAATGTTTGTAAATACATGTATCATTGTAACGTAGCAAATGCTTAAGTAGTGTTTTGCCATATTAAATGTCTTATACTCATTCCTGACTGGATCATTGCTCATAATACTAGTCAATGAAATGTTGATAAAAAAGCTACAAGCTTTACAGAACTAAACATGCCTAAAAGGGTAATTGTTTATAGAGAAGGAAAACTAATTTTTGTGGCCACAGAATTTGTTTTCACAACTCTATAAATTAATTGAGCTAATTAATTTTACTTGTCTTGTAAAACGTGGTCCGTGTAATTGATTACAATTAATTTGTGGTTAATTGCAGGGAAACACATGTATGCATACAGGTAAAATTGATAAAGCCTCCCTAAATGGGAGATTTATTAACATGTAAGACTGGTCTGATCCAAATCTGTATGAATAATTATTAATTATCAATTATTAATTATGATATGCAAATTCCCCCTTGATCAGACCCAAACAGAGTCTCTACTGGAGTGTTGCCCTGTGACAGCATATCCGTGCCGAGATTTTGTACACCCGGTATGTGCAATGCTTTCAGAGAGCCCAGATTGGCCTGCGCCCAGAGGAGGAGGTCTCTTGCCATAGCATACAGGTTGCTCGACATGACCACCGACATGTTGTCCGTATGGACTATGACCTGAGGTTTGACAGAAAAGCTTTTAGGGCCAAACCAATCGCTTCCATTTCCAGACAGTTGATGTGTAAGCTCTGCTCTGTGCTCAACCAGAGGCCGGATACAGGCTTGCCCTCGTGCAGCGCTCCCCAACCCAGGTTAGAAGCATCTGTAAACACCACTTTCCTTCTGGAGACCACTCCCATGGTCACCCCATTGTGGTGCCAGTTCTGAACCCACCATGGAATCAGTGTCCTCAAACACTCGTGATTCACCATAATGCGCAGGCTGTCTTACTATCATGCATGGGTGGGCACACGTCGCTTTAGCCAGTGCTGCAGCAAATGCATGCGCAGTAATCCCAAACGGAGTACTGATGATGCAGCCGCCATCAGACCAAGCAGATTCTGAAACTTCTTCAGAGGCGCACACTTGTGCGTCCTGGATGAAGTTGACAGAGTCTGTACAGAGCGCGCGCTCTGTAGAGTGAGCCATGCTTTAATCGTTGCCGAGTCTAAAACTGTGCTCAGAAAGACAACAGTCTGGCTGGGGATGAGTTCACTTTTGGCAACATTGATTGTGAGACCCAAATAATTTAGACGGCAGACAATCATATCTCTGTGACGTATCAATTCATCTCTCGATTACGCTAGCACTAGCCAGTCTGCGAGATAGTTCAGCAGGTGCACTCCCTGATTTTTCAGTGGGGAGAGCACTGCATCCATGCATTCTGTGAATGTGCGGGGTGCCAGGGACAGACCGAACGGCAGGACTATATATTGATATGCTCTCCCCTCGAAGGCGAATCTCAAGAATGGCCTGTGACGAGGGTCGATCTGAATATGAAAGTATGCATCTTTCAGATCCATTGTAACAAACCAATCACTCAGGCGAACTTGCGCAAGGATTTGTTTGAGTGTAAACATTCGGAATGGCCGCCTCATGAGAGCCTTGTTCAGATGTCTCAGATCTAAAATGGCTCATAGCTTGCCGTCTTTTTTTGGAACTAGAAAATAGTGGCTGTAAAACCCTGAATACATTAGCGGGATGAACTAATTCTATCGCTCCTTTTGATAATAAAATCTGAACTTCGGTACGAAGCACGTGATCCACACTGCTTCTCACCAATGTCTCCATAACCACTTGAAATTTCGGCGGCCTGCGAGCGAATTGGAGTGAGTAGCCTCACTTTATAGTGTTTATTATCCAACTCGACACACTGGGGATGACTTGCCAGGCCATCACCCGGGAAAAAATGCCGATGGTTTGTGACAAGGGGCCAGTTGGCACCCCGACAGGAACCATCCGTCCAATTGACTGTGAGGAGGCTCTTTGGGTGTGGTCCACTCCAGCTCGAGGTCCGCGACAGCCTTGGTTAGAATCCGAAGCATTTTGGCATCGGAGTTCATTCTAGTCACAGAATCACTGGCCACAGACTGCGAGGCGGTGACGGGGTCGAGAGAGCCCGGCCACTCTTCCTCAGAGGCAGTGATGGACAGGCTGTCGTCGTGTGATCCGCCAAAGGAGACAAGGCCCGCCACGTGGGAGTGAGGGCACTGGTCTCCAGCAAGCAAGAGCGATGATGGCGATTGGGCCAGAGAAAATGAAGCATGTGGAGACCCGGCGTGCGTTTACTAGTAGACCGGCCCTCATGTTGCCATTGGCTGCGACGCTTCTTCTTCCTGGGGGCAGCGAGCGTCGTTGAAATGGCGTCCGCACGTGGCGTAGGAACAAGGCATCTGTGAAATATAGTTAGCTTTTCAAAGGATATAGAGGGATTTGCCGGATACAGGTGAGACGGCGTCAGAGACCACGGAAAAATCGTCATAGTCTGAGAGAGAAGCAGCTCAGCTGAAAGCCTTGATTCGACGGCGACATCAGTAAAAAGCTCAGGGACGTGAAAACTGTCGCTGAAGGAGTAAAATCTGCTATTATGACGAATTCGGGGGTCTTTATAGGCTGGGTCGCGGCCCCTTTGCGGGTTCTGATGTAAGGCTAGCCCATTGGTTGCATGCCAGAGTGGCCCGTGCCATTGGATGTGCAGTTGCTGCAGCACAACCTATGAGCACGTCTGAAACTTAACGCAATGCGAAGAGACCATTCGAAAGGGAACATTATTACAGCTCCAAAAGTGTTTATCAGCAGCAATTACCAGGCCACTTTAATATAAAGTGAAGTCCACATGTAACCTTCATGAGTTTGCTAACACATAACATAATTAAATTGTAAATGGAACATCTATGTGCTAGGATTTAAGACTTCTAGGTCTATCTATAATAAAAATGAGCAATAAAACACACAGCACTTGAAACACTTCCGATTATTAGTGTTGCTATTAGATTACATGAAGTGTGTGAAGTACATGTATAACATCAATGATTTTGTAGATGTTTTTTTCATGTTATGGTGTCATTACTCATAGACATTTTGAATTATCCCCCTTAATGGCTTTCATGTTATCATAGCAGAGTTATGGTGCTGTTCATTAAGATAATTGCTCTTGTCAAATTTATGGATTCTAGCCTGCTTATGTTGTTTCTCTCACTTCTATTTCACAAAAGCGAAGCAATTTGCAAACCATAGTTAACAGGATTGATTAAGGTTAGAAACCTCTAGATGAAGGTAAATAACTTCATGACATCAAAGTCATGCATGTTGTGCAAGGGTAGCAGAGTTTGAATCTTAGGCTTTTATCATCTACACTTTTCAAGCAAATGATGATTGGGGTTTCATACGGGTATGCCCTTTGTTTGGTGCACAAATGAGCTGCAATAAGAAGAACAAATCATACATTATGTTAGAAATTAATGTTTACACTCACACACACACACACACACACACACACACACACACACACACACACACATACTTGTTTTTGTGGTATAGAAGGTCGCACCGGTGTGGTGGTGGTATATAGGGACACACCTTTCCCAATGCCCTACAGTGATGATACAACTATCAAAAATTTTGTTTTGATCTGCAGATCACAAATCTGACTTCAAATGTTCTATACACACAACAGAACAGAAAATATAAAAATGGTGGTATACAAGGACATTCCCGCCCCCTCCTAAAATGTTCCCGCCTATGACATAATTGTGATTTATGGGGCCCGACCTGATTATGAGGACACTCATTTTACAATACACAAAATATGTCATTTCGGTGGATTACAGGGACCTATGTGTTTTACTGGTACATGCCCACACACACACACAAACCTGACGAGAGGGTGTATTACCAAGACTAAGGTGATTTAAGAGTACTGGATCTTAAACACAATACACAACTGCACAATCCAACATTATAAGGACGAGTGTGTTTTACTGGTACATGCCCACACACACACACAAACCTGACGAGATGGTGTATTACCAAGACTAAGGTGATTTAAGAGTACTGGATCTCCAATACAATACACAAAAAAACTTGCAACATTACAGGGACAGAAGTGTTTTACAAGTGCTTTAATTATGACTTCAATAATATCATCATAAACATTGAGTTTTTTTTCAGTTTTACCATGTAATTCCATCATGTCATGCCATTTTAAGTGTAAAGTCACATCCACAAACTTAAAAACATGGTCAATGATTGACAAAACAGCCCTTTGAAGCAGACACATTTTAAAGATGTCATTAAACAGGCTTTGAAATGTATAAAATTAACTCACTCAACATACAATAGATGCTGCTTAGTGCTGCACAGTACTGAAGAAAAAAGCGATATGCGTTAACTCATTAAATACTGCGATATTCGATAGAGTAATGTTTAAAGTGTGTAAAACAAACTTAAATTATCTATTATTTAACCTTACATAAATGTTTCACATTCTTTTTGTGACAAGAAAACATCAGCTTCTGAAAGTGAACATCAGTGTTTTACTGTACACTGATATTAAAATAATACTTCTTATGCTAAAGCACAGGGTTCAGATTATCCTACATTAGGATTATTTAACAACAGAAACTGAATAATCAAATGTGAAAATAAAACACTGCTTAGTTTTCACTGTATTATTTACATATATACAGTTATTCAGCAAACAGCAGTGAGTGATTTTCTTTTGTTCATGACCCCAGCTATTGCAAGCCGTCGCGATATGCATATCGCGATATATACATTTGCAAAACAAACCAAATTACAACGGACGGTTTACCTCTGTTATTTCCAGAAAATATAAACAGAATTGTCAAGTCAAGTTTCAAAGCAGATTTACAGGAAAATTATTTAACAAAGTTTGCTTGGGTTGTACATCAGCTCTAGAAGCGTCTAGTGTCAATATAACTATCATTGTAAGTACATGAGCTCCCGTGTGTTTAGAGCTTACTAAAGCATGTATTCTCCTGCGCTGAGAATGAGAGTGAGGTAGAGATTGAAACTCCACGGAAAGGGTCTTCAGTGGTCTTACACTTCTGCCATTCAGTCAGTGTGGCCAGTTTTCCTTTGGTTATATGTGCCTTAACATGTTTAATTGCAGCTGTAACTTCAGCATTTGACCAGCACACTTTTTGTCCTTTCCACAAGGTTTTCAATTTCTTCCTCACTGTCATTCTCTGTACAGAATACAACATGCTTTGTAAGTACATGAGCTCTCATAGATAAAGCTTACTAGATGGTCATATTCTAATTTAAACCTCGGGTACCTTGAGGCACGTCAGTGGTTTTCTCGATGGGCATCTTCTGAACACCTGGAAGAAATCAGTTATATACTGATCAGAAACTCAGATGTAACTCAAACCTGTATCTAGAGCTTAAAACTGGTTTTACATCTGATATCTAAAAAATACATTTCAAATGACATTCAGATGAAATGTTGTGTTAAACAGATGCTTTTAAAGTTTTAGACCAACATGAACATCATCAACGTATTGGTATCGGCCAGAATTACAATGTTGGTGCAACACTGACTCCATTAATGTTCTTCTAGAAAAGGTGCACACTATAGTGCAAATATCTGATTATTGATAACTGATTATTGACTGATTATTACAATTAATGACAAAAGAAATGTTAAGAAATGTAATCTGATATTACCTACTGAAACACTATAGCATTATATATATATACACACACACACACACTGAACAATTATAAACGCAACACATTTGTTTTTGCCCCCATTTTTCATGAGCTGAACTCAAAGATTTAAGACTTTTTCTATGTACACAAAAGGCCATTTCTCTCAAATATTGTTCACATATCGTCTAAATCAGTGTTAGTGAGCACTTCTCCTTTGCCGAGATAATCCATCCACCTCACAGGTGTGGCGTATCAAGATGCTGATTAGACTATTAGACTGTGATTATTGCACAGGTGTGCCTCAGGCTGGCCACATTAAAATGTGCAGTTCTACTGTATTGGGGGGTCAAAAAACCCTCAGTCAGTCTCTGGTGTGACCACCATTTGCCTCACGCAGTGCAACACATCTCTTTCGCATAGAGTTGATCAGGTTGTTGATTGTGGAGTGTGTAATGTTGGTCCAGTGTTGGTCCACTTGCTGGATATTGGCAGAACCTGGAACACACCGTCTTAAACGCCGATCCAGAGCATCCCAAACATGCTCAATGGGTCACATATCCGGTGAGTATGCTGGCCATGCAAGAACTGGGATGTTTTCAGCTTCCAGGAACATGGGGCCGTGCGTTAACATGCTGCAACATGACACAACAATGGGCCTCAGGATCTCGTCACGGTCTCTCTGTGCATTCAAAATGCCATCAATAAAATGCACCTGTGTTCATTGTCCATAACATACGCCTGCCCATTCCATAACCCTCCCGCCACCATGGGCCACTCGATCCACAACGTTGACATCAGCAAACCGCTCATCCACACGACGGCATACACGGTGTCTGCCATCTGTCCTGTACAGTGAAAACCGGGATTCATCCGTGGAGAGAACAGCTCTCTAAAGTGCCAGACGGCATCGAATGTGAGAATTAGCCCACTCAAGTCGGTTACAAGGATGAACTGCAGTCCAGCCGAGACCCCGATGAGGAGGACGAGCATGCGGATGAGCTTCCCTGAGACACTTTCTGACAGCTATGCAAACTGGTTGTTGCAGCAGCAGTCCGGTTGGCTGGTCTCAGTCTTGTAGGAGAAGAGGCTGGATGTGGAGGTCCTGGGCTGATGTGGTTACACGTGGTGTGCGGTTGTGAGGCCGGTTGGATGTGCTGGAAAATTCTCTGAAACACCTTTGGAAACGGCTAATGGTAGAGAAATTAACATTCAATTCATGGGCAACAGCTCTGGTGGACATTCCTGCAGTCGGCATGCCAATCGCACGCTCCCTCAAAACTTCGACATCTGAGGCATTGTGCTGTGTGATAAAACTGCACATTATAGAGCGGCCTTTTATTGTGGCCAGCCTAAAACACACCTGTGAGGTGGATGGATTATCTCGGCAAAGAAGAAGTGCTCACTAACACATATTTTTGAACAATATTTGAGAGAAATGGCCTTTTGTGTACATAGAAAAAGTCTCAGATCTTTGAGTTCAGCTCATGAAAAATGGGGGCAAAAAGTGTTGCGTTTATAATTGTTTTCAGTGTATACAACTGGCTTAAAACAATTAAGCCAGTTATATACGCAACACAGTATAATTTTAATTTGACCATTGGGTGCGGATATTTAAGTTAGAGAGCATTATTAGGGCGTGTGGATGATGTGTGTTTGGCTGTGGATTCGGGTGACATTGGAGCTCATCTTACTCTAAAGCAGTGAATCTGCAAGCAATAACAGCTCGGGTGCACACGGCTAACACGGTTTATCAAGTTAGTGGTATTACATCCTGCATAATCTGTGTGCGTGACATGAGCGCACACAGCGCGTGTCTTCTCCAGGTCTTACCGGGTTGTTCATAAAAGCCAAATGTGGCCAGATGTAGGCTTTTAAAGTAGTTGGAGTATTTTTATTGACTCGCACTCGGGGGGACTCGCCTCCCTCTGCCAGTGTATGCTACCGCAACAAAGCACATACGTGATAAATGACGTCAGAAAAAAGCGTCAGTGCATTATAACCGGTTATGGTCTATTACTGAACCGATACCAAATCGTCCTCGTCTGCATCACGATGCATCGTAGAAACGATTCATTTCGACACCCATAACAAACGCAGTCATGGCGCAGCACAAAGTGAAATTGTTGTGGACAGCAGAGATGGAGGATCAGCTAGATTTGTGGCAACAGCACGAATGTTTATACAACGTGTTATGTAAAACCTTTCCAAAAACTATTCTGTATTCTGTATTCTGAACTCTTGCGAGATTTTGTGCTCACAGTCGAGACTCTGGTTAAAAACCTGTTCGTGTGTGGAGCAAAACTATAGGAGCAAAATGGTTAAATCTAGGATTTTTGGAAAATCTTATCACATTTTGAAAATCTTATAAGATGTAAAAATTATTTTGGTGTGTACCCAGCATTAGTTGACACATACCAACATAACTAGAGACGCTGCAGCTCCAGCAGCAACATCTCCTCCAGAACCGCTTCCATCAGGATCACTGGCAGCAGAATCCGTCACACTGATCTCATCTAAGAGAAAAAGAGACATTTAAAACAAGAACATCTTCAGTTTAACCTGTATTCAGATGTCATTTATGAAACATGAAAAATTACGCCGTTTAATAATAATAATATTAATAAAAACTATAATACTTCACTAAGATGCCTATTATTCGAATTATCGCTAAGACCGTAATATTCTAAAACTGTCAATGAAAAATTAATATTTTATAATGCGTATATTATTTTACAATAGGAGGTTATAATACTTTCTTAATTTCGTCACTTAAGCTGTTATACTGGCAGAAACCTGCAGTTTCAGTGAAAACAGGTTTATAAACGCATCTTATTACAAAATCTTATTACCACAAAAAATGTGGATATAATGCGAATGTGAAAATAATGTAACTGGTGCTGGTTGCGTGCCAAATGCATGTTAAACTCAGAGATGGAGTTCACTGCATTCATTCCCTGAGAAACGGGGCGTGGAAAAAGGCAGATCATGAGCTGATCGAGCGAGTAAAGTGTGCTCTTCAGCACTTGCTTAATTATCGACTTTTGCCATTTGATAAGGGCGCTATAAACCATGTTGTACTTTTGATTTTAGTTTGTTTGAGAGATGCTTTGCCAAAAATAAATAATATTTAAAAGAAATATGATATAATATAAAATAAACACAGACAAATATTTTTGGTTCATTTGGATCAAACTGTGGTGGGTCACTAGAGTAAAGGTAATAAATGGTAACACTGTATAAATTTGACTCCGAAAAAATGCCAAATAATAAACAGTTAAGAGGCTATAATGACATGTTATAGTGAGATATGACAGTGCTTCTGCAACACGCATCACTACAGATGAGTAGCTGAGTATCTCTTCAGCATTCTGATGCGCAAAATACCAATTGAAAACTAAAGTCACAGATGATCAACAGAGTCATCTTGATGATTTTACCAGTGCAGATGTTACTCTCTCTCTATTGATCTTAAAATTAGCTGACGATACATAAAATGTGGCTCATAGTGGTTGCTTTCAATGACGTGAACACCTTTAAATCTGATATAGCGTGGGATTTGAAGATTCGGATTTATATCCGTTTTGTGAACACATTTATGTGGCCAGGTGTAAATGGAATTGTTTTGACAATGAAATGACCCGGGGCCTTTACCATGAAGCTGGTTTAGGTGGCTAGCCAGCTATGTTTCAGTTTACTTTGCGCCAACCCTGGGTTTAAGGCACCATGAAAGTCTTTTAGTAATTTTTAGTAATGTTTATTTAGAATAATAAATTTGTATGATTTAGAAATTATTATTCCCTTAATCTATCACACATGTACAATTTTAGTTCATCAACTACAATGCAGATTTTAAATGAATAAATAAATATATAAAAGGTAACATAAATATACTTTAGAATCAATAGATAAAGCTATAAAATGCTATAGCTATAAAAATATGAAGCTATAAAACTTCACAACTTTTACTTGCACTGATATACAGTGACAAGTCTTTTTCTTTTAGTTGTCCTCTTTCATAGACAGATATTTTCTTCTTGTTGTGTAAATTTGTTTAAATTCTTAATATTTTAATATTTCTATTTAATAAGTGAATTGTGCTGCTTCTCTTGCGAGAAATGAATTTCAGTTTTGAATGAGTTTCTCTTTCTCAGCATGTGATTGGCTGTTGGCTACTGATGTCACACCTAAACTCAGGATCAAAGCCTGAGTTGACAGAGAAAGTTGATGATCAGCATCATGGTACAGGCCTCAGGTGTAAAAAAAAAAATATGATGTGATAAAGATCTTACTAGACTAGCAATTTCTAAAATGATGCAATGCTCTTTTTATTACCATGTCAACACAGTCTTGACTCTTGACCCTCCAATGATGATCTGATATGGTCCTTCTCAGGGCTCATCTGAAAGCAAGGTAAAGAAAGAAAAAATTAACATTCTACTAAAGACAAAGGACTCAGAGATTCTCCAAATGAAGCAGCACAGATACTTGACTCCATCAACACTGACTGATCACGGTCATAAAACATAAGATTAAAACAATTTCACATTATCAATGATATACTTGAGCAAAAGAAGGCTGATCATGCCAAAACAAATTCAGGCATGATGGTACATTTCAAACCACTTAGTATTAATAGTGATCAAATTAATGAGATGAATAGGGACTTCAGTTTTAAAACAGGGTGACATACGCAAGTTGTGATCATGTATATAGTTAAAACCCTATAGATATATGGTCATAACCACTCAGAGATGTATGATATATAGGGCTCCATATCAGTATTGGAAAATAAATTTTTAATGTTATCGTTGTCAATTCGATAGGAAAATTAGGTTGATTAACACTGATGAATAATGGATTATGTCCTTCAGCTTCAGATGTGCGCTGTTCCCCATGATGGTTGTGAACAGTTTGAATCACAAATCTGTGATCTCTTTTATTTTGTTATATGTATATGTATATATATATATATATATATACTTTATCTCATATAGAAATCATTTGGCTGAGTAAATGATCGCTGCAGTAAAGCGCTTCACTGTAGGCCTAGCGGTGATCATCTCCTTTAGCACATGCGCTCAAACAGCAAAGCAGAACAATAATAACTATGATTGGGACTGTCATATACATAACATTATAATGAGCAAACTACTGCATTAAAAACTTTGTGAATTCTTTGGGTTTAGCTGCTGTTTCATCCACAACAGGAGTTTCACTATGTAACTTTTCTCAAGTTAATGTCTGCATGATTTTGTATATCTAATCAATCATATATAGGCTGTGTTCCGTTGAGCTAAAACCATCTAATAAAGCTTCAGTTTATGGGTGTTCCTTCAGCTCTTAAGCTTTAGCACAGCTCAAACACAACGCTATTTGAAACAGAAATATTAAAGATGTTTACTGTAATATTCAAATGTTTAATATTAAAAAGTTCTACATGTTTAAAAAACACTGATGCGTTATTATTCATAACTAGTACTTTTTTTTGTTCTTGTATCATTTATCAACAATATGGTTTGAGTAAAATCATTCCCTTATTGTGTGTGCGGAGTGGACTTGGCAAACCCAGACAACTTCCGGCAAATTTAGATTTACTCTGCAAGTAAGTCTGGCATAGACCTCATTCAAGCCTATTTCTAATCCGTCAAAATCGCGGAACTTATCAGAAACGTTGGCTTCCATTGACTCCCAATCATTTTGGTGACAGCGAATAACTTTACATCGAAGATGTCCAAAGACTCCATTTGTCCATTATTTATTTCTAAAGAAAAGGGTTGGGTAGTAACCAAAGTCTATGGCATGAGGCGCACACACGCAGTCTCTCGCTGTCTCCCTCTCCCTCTCCAACGTGCGCGTACTATACGGTTTATTGAAGCACTGTCTGATCTGTCTCGCACGCGCTTTTGCTCGCTCGCTCTAGATTCCGGGAGATTTGAACTAATTTGCGATTATCCAGGAGCCGTTATCAATATGCGGGAGACTCCCGGAACGTCTGCCGATAGCGAGGATATTATTGAAGATGCCGAAGACAAAACGCTGCAAGGTTTGGCTGCATTTCACGTGTAAAATTACGCGTCAGAACGATTGTCTGAACTTAAGCCCATATAGAATCACCATTCGCACCGCCTTGACGCTCACGTCGTCATATTATATTAGTGCGCGCATGCTCTGCTCCTCAGATTTCTCTGTTGAAAAAGGAAGCTTGTCAGCAGCGCGAGGAGTTTGGCAGCGAACGGAGCATCTCGTTCCCTATTCAGAGAACATGGTTTACACAGAGACGTTCTCTTTCATATGTTCATATGCAGTGGGAACGAAATATAAAACTGGATAAGAGCTTAACTAGTAAATGACCAGATAACTTACATGACTAGTTAAAGCAGACAAAACATGGGAACCTGTAGCCATGTCGATATTATATTACCCTGGTAGTAATCTCTATTAATCTCCAGTATAATTATATTGTTTGATATAATATTGTTTTATTTGATATTATGTAAATATGATTTTTTATTTTATATTTGGTTTATTTATTATTAACATATGTTACTTGTTTATATTGTAAGTTAATATTGTGTCCAGTTTGGCCCTGTAAATAAAGGGATATTATTTTTTTGACAAAGTGTGTGCGGTTTCCTTTTCTTGAGTACCGTTTCAAGAACCATTTAGGCACCGGAACCGTTTAAAAAATACCTAGTAGGTACTGGTATCGGATAAAACCCAAACGATACCAAACCCTACTAAAGAAACATGACAATGTATAAAAGGCCCCATTACTTTGTATCTTACGTTACGGCCGATTTAGAAGATGTTTTTGTAAAAATAGGCTAACGATTGCGTCACGAGACTCTGTCGCACACTAGAGCAATTACCATATAGAGTGGAGGAGAAGCTCAGCATTCGGGGGGACGTGGAGGCATAAAGTCAAGGGAGAAGCCCATAGAGAGCTGTAGAGTTGCTCCTGCTGCGAGCTCATGGACAGCTCTTACTCGCGCTCTCCGGCTCTGCAAGATTCGGAAGGGAATGATTCAGATTTCTCTTTGCACCGCTACTAGGTTACTCAAGTCTCATCTCCGTCGTCAAGCTCAGTTTGAGCCTGCGCAGTCGTTCAGCCATTTCTTTTACAGTCTATGGTTTTAAGCGATTTGAACGTTTCCTTTTTGTTAAAACCCGAGCAAAGAACAACACTCGGAGATGTTTCTCCGTCATCAACGCACTAACACCGCACTGCCACGATGAAGATTTTAAAACTGGAAGACGAAAAAAGCGGAAAAATACCCCTTAAATTTAACCATTTTAACCCTACTATTAAATCTAACAGATGCTAACATTGTCTTCAATGGTGTTCAACACACATACCTCTGTTAAAATCTCAGAAAATTTGGTTTGGGGTTTAATGGCTCTTTAAGAAAGATTAATAAATCCTGTAGAACTATTGTTCATTGTTAGTTAATGTTAACTAATACTAACAAGACACTAACATTTTTTTCAAAAAAGTGAATGGAAATATGAATGTAAAATAAATTTTAAAGTTAATTAATTCCTCACTGGTTCAAACTAGGCTACTGTACTGTATTTGTTTGTTTCATGTTGAAGTGTTTGGGAGATTGGCTTTTAATGATGATCGTTTCGTTTTTGTAATTAGGCCTTTCAAAGTATATACAATTTGCCAATATATCAGATCTCGGCTTTCAAATATAAAGAATGATCAGTTATTGAACTCGGCCCAAATGTTCATATCTGTGTATCCCTAATTTGATTTCCAAAAATAAAAAAAACAAAAAACAATACCTTCTGTTCATCTCCGACTTGATTTCGAGTGTTGATTTCGAGAGTGGAGCAATCAACCTCACTGGGAGTCTACAAAACATAAAAGTAGACATGAAACACTGGTGTAAATATGTGAACACTAGATCTCACAATGTGTCTGCTTCGTTTGCTCATTCTCTTCCAGCACAACTCTCACTTACCTCGTGCAGTCCCAGAGTCAGAGCACATAATCATCACTGCCTGAGGACAACTGGGTCTTATGGCTCATCTGAAAATATGAAATAAAGCGTTACATACAGAACACTTCACCTAAGAGTTTAAAAAAATCATAAATAATATATAAGGACAATGTAGTCAGCCAGTTATTAATAATCAGGGTCCCGATACACAGCTACCTATCAATACTTATTTCCACATGAAATATTGATTTGAGATAATATACAAGATTACAAAACATTTCAATATTTAAATGTTAGCCAAGGTAATTTTAATGGATTTTATGCATCACATTACAAGTGTTTTCATTAAAGAATGTCACGTGTCTTACACCATTTTTTTATGAGGACATCATAAGATGAGATGTTCCTGATGTTTGACTTGACTGGAGAATCTCAGTGTGTTGTGTAAGTTTGACAGAAGTCTGGTCTATGAGGACAGTAGTTTTACCAGGACACTGGTAACTAGAAACATTTGGATGGCACCCTGAGTTTAAGTATGTTTATGTATGAGAGTGATATAATACGAGACATTGCGCCTGTGCTAGAAATACAGTACGTGATCATGACTCACTTCTTATACACACAATCATAATTCAGTGACTGATAACAATCTGTTTCTGAGGAACTGAAATCTGTTCTATTCTTTAAGGAATAACTCAATTATTACATTAACATGGTCTTATCAGTTATCATCTGAAAAAAAGAAAGAAGAGCAAATAATATATATATATATATATATATATATATATATATATAAAGACAAACAAGTACAAATTTTATTATTACTTATTGAAAGCCAATTTCAACAGAGGTTACTATTTTTTAACTTCTTCAATGATTACATTTAATCTAACAAGCACAAATAGTTTTTGATATTGGTATTCGCCAAAATGAGCTGTGAATTATGGGTCAGTATATCAGTATCAATCCTACTATTCCATATGTGTGTCCTGGTAAAACTGTGTCCTCATAGACCAGGATTCTGTCAAACTTACACAACACACACAGATTCTCCAGTCAAGTCAAACATCAGGAACATGTTCTTATGATGTCCTCATAAAACGGTGTCCTCATAAACCAGGTGTAAAGCTACACACAACCTGACATACTGTAATGAACACGCATGTAATGTGATGCACTAAAGCCCTGAACATTAATCTGTAGGGCTGCACAATATATTGCTTTATCATTCATACCTATCTGTGGTAGTGAGTCTAGTGACACTGCAGTATTAGGCCTATGTGAAGTCAGGCTATACATGCATAACCTAAAGATGATGCAGTGTTATTTTACAGTTATTTACTCAATTTCAGTACTTAAATGTTGTTAGACTCACCTGGAAAATATGAGCCACTGATTATTTCACATCTTTGTTACATTTTTTTATCTATGCTTTCCATTTATTATTTTCTATACAGATACAAACCCCAACAAAATCACGCCAATCATTCTAGAATGATTAATTATCTCCAAATAGAGCTATTTAAGTAATTTGTAGAAATTGCTTTTTATATTGCATTATATATTGTAGAAAAAACAAATATTGCAATATCAGTTTTTTGCAATATCGTGCCGATCTATTACATAGGGTCATTTTTAACCTTTAATAATAAAACAAGTAAAATCAACACTGTAAATAACATATCATGTAGCTGACACAGCTTTATTAAACAGTGTCACTTCAGCATGGAAACACTGAATTCAGCTTTATAATGATGGCTGAATCTGCCCTGGAGTAATCCTGACCTTTTGACAAAATGAGCTGTGAATTATGGGTCAGTATATCAGTATCGATCCTAATATTCCATATTTGTGTCCTGGTAAAACTGTGTCCTCATAGACCAGGATTCTGTCAAACTTACACAACACACACAGATTCTCCAGTCAAGTCAAACATCAGGAACATGTTCTTATGATGTCCTCATAAAACCGTGTCCTCATAAACCAGGTGTAAAGCTACACACAACCTGACATACTGTAATGAACACGCATGTAATGTGATGCACTAAAGCCCTGAACATTAATCTGTAGGGCTGCACAATATATTGCTTTATCATTCATACCTATCTGTGGTAGTGAGTCTAGTGACACTGCAGTATTAGGCATATGTGAAGTCAGGCTATACATGCATAACCTAAAGATGATGCAGTGTTATTTTACAGTTATTTACTCAATTTCAGTACCTAAATGTTGCTAGACTTACCTGGAAAATATGAGCCACTGATTATTTCACATCCTTGTTAAATTTTTTTTATCTATGCTTATTTTTTTCTATACAGATACAAACCCCAACAAAATCACGCCAATCATTCTAGAATGATTCATTATTGCCAAATAGAGCTATTTAAGTCATTTGTAGAAATTGCTTTTTATATGTTGCATTATGTATTGTAGAAAAAAACAACAACAAATATTGCAATATCAGTTTTTTGCAATATCGTGCCTGTCTATTACATTGGGTCATTTTTAACCTTTAATAATAAAACAAGTAACTGTAAATAACATATCATGTACCTGACACAGCTTTATTAAACAGTGTCACTTAAGCATGGAAACACTGAATTCAGCTTTATAATGATGGCTGAATCTGCCCTGGAGTAATCCTGACCTATTGACATATTATTCAACAAGTTTGTTTTAAATAAATCGATAAATTATGGTAAACGGCATTCAAGTTATTTTCATACTTTATTATATGATATTTAAGGAATATGTTAATTGAACATAACTATTCATTTAATAAATTGCATTCACAATTGATAAATTACAGGCAATAGTGACAGTATTAATAAGACTTAATCAGACTGACAGTTATATTAATATTCAGAGTATATTGAATTATAGTCAGGAGTGATAAGAGCACATGTTTCTTAATGTAAGCATAACTGTAGTAATATACTGTACTGGGTAAAAAACACTGTAGTCATGACAACGCGTTATTATGAAGGCTAGACTATTTTATGTGATCATTAAAGGTAGCAGTTACAATTAAAGTTCAATCTAAAACGAGTTTAAAATGACACAAGCATCGCTGATTCCCTCATGTCAGTCTGTAAACAGAATCACTAACTTAAAAGTCCGCTAGCTCCGTTAGCATCACGCGCTAGCTGCTTTCTAACTGTAAAACGAGCAGCAAAGAGCCTACAGGACATCACAAACAAGCCAAACAGACCCAGGTGCTATTAGAGAAGCAATTAAACAACATTATAACTTACCTAACACATAACAGTTGCTTTCATCGGGTCCAGATATGTCCTTTCGGTCCTTTCAGGTCCAGAGTTTGTCTCTCGTTCAAACAGGAAGTGACCGTGACGACCGTGATCTGATTAAGTTACGTCTAACTTATCATAATATAAACAGGGTTTTATTTATTTATTTATCATACAATTAATCCACAATTAATAAATTACAGGCAAAAATACTTAAATAATAATTATTTTGCATTAAGTTGCTTGTTATAAAGACTATGCTGACGCTGAATGAAGCTCCGCCCACCGGCGCCATTGTGTTTTCGCAATTTCCCGCCTACCGGTACCGATCTGTCCAATCACAGGCCTCGAAGCATACACTTGTGTAAAACATGCAAATTTTTGATGACGCGGGTGTAATACCGGGACCTGGCTACAGGGGCGACACTCGCGAAATCAGGGATACACTGTGTATGGTAAAATTTCAGGGTTTTGTGGTATATAAAGACATGGCGCCAAACTTTGAGAGGGAGCATCTGGGACATCGTAGATGGCGTTTACACTGTCGGAATTATGAGGACATGGCCTCTGTCCTCGTAAACCCAAATGTCCCCATAGTGCCGGTGCGTATTCAGGTCAAATGTCCTCGTAAACCACAAAAACAAACACACACACACACACACACACACACACACACACACACACACACACACACACACACACACACACACACAAACACCATTATACTTAGTACATTATAGTGTATGAAAACAAGAGATGACCTCAGCAAGAACAATCTCCATCAATTTCTATTTTTATAAGGTGCTCAATGTGATCTAAATTCATACCATATACACACATACAATATATCAGTGTCAGATTTGATGATCATAGATGTTTTTTCCCCATTGCAGTCCCATTGCAGTCAGAACGAGAACCTGAAATTACTATAATTACATTTATTATAATTATGAAGCAAGTGGCTTCATAAAATTATGAAACCCACTGTTGTTGTCAAGGAGAGGGCCTCTCTGTCAAAAAAAAAAAAAAGATTGACAAACTACATGCATGTACAGGGATGGCATACAAG